TTATTAAATCATAATTTACGATCTCAACGTTTATATATCGTGTTTTATTTTCATAGCGATAAGTTTATTATTTTCTGAATTTGCATATGAAATGGCCTGGTCTGGGAGATTTCACGCAAAAAACAATCATGATCTTATACAACATCTGAGATGTAAGTGATATAAATATAACTTTGCAATTACATTTACTACCAAAAAAAAGTTAGATGTAAACCATATGTCTCTTTGATTTAGCATCAAGAATAATTAAATCAGACAGAGTTTATGACGCAATGTCTTCTGTAGATAGAGGAAATTATACCTGTTCTGGCTATGCATATATAGATTCTCCACAGGATATTGGCTATGGTGCAACTATAAGTGCTCCTCATATGGTATACAGATATCTATTGAATTTAAATCTGTAATTTGGTGCAAGTGCCGATGTCATTATTTATAATACTTCCCGCTGTTTCAAATTTCTTTCGCAGCAACAACAAAAAGAATGAATTAAAGCTTATGATATTTATGTTTTTTATAGTGACTTTGGTATTTTTTTACAGTGTTTATTGTATAAAAAATGTTGTCATCAGCACATACAAATGCTATTATAATTATTTCCAGGTAGAATTTTCAGATAGAACTTGAAATTGCCGTTCTTATATAGAATATACAATTGCTTATAAATTCAATATTGAGTTCAAGTCATTTTTGAAAAAATATGACATTGGCACTTTTTGCACCAAGACACAGAAGCATAATATAGAAAATATGTCAATGAAATTGATAAATTAAAATTATTTAGCATGCATATGCTTTGGAAATACTTGAAGATAAGCTGTGTGATGGTGCTAGAGCATTAGATGTTGGTTCTGGTTCTGGATATTTAACAGCATGTATGGCAATGATGTTAGGAACAAATGGATTAGCTATAGGTATTGAACATATTTCTGAACTTAAAGCATTTGCTATGCAAAATATTCAGAGAGATAACCCAGAACTTCTTGAAAGCGGTCGTGTTCAATTAGTTGGTAATTATTTTCTAAATTTTATATAAATATGTGGATTTGTATATTTCATATAAAGATATGTAATATTCAACATTTTTTCTAATATTTATGTATAATATTCTAGTTGGAGATGGAAGATTAGGATATCCAGAAAAAGCACCATATGATGCTATTCATGTGGGAGCTGCTGCTAAAGAAATGCCTCAAGCTGTAAGAAAAAAACTTAATGACTTAATATTATACAGAAATATATTATATAATCATTAAAATATTTATTACACAGTTAATTGATCAACTAGCTCCTGGAGGACGTTTGGTGTTACCAGTGGGTCCAAGGAACTCAGATCAAGTCTTAGTACAGGTTGATAAAACAAAGGATGGGAAGATTAAGAAAAAGTCTCTTACAGGTGTAGTTTTTGTTCCGTTAACAAGTAAAGATAAACAACATCCTTCATGAGATACATGCATGCTCCAATAAGTGAGCAGGCTTTTTTCTGTGAATTAAATGCAAATGATAAATAAAGCTTATAGGTTTTAGTTATATATGCACTAATATATATGCTCAAATACTTGCAAATAAATAAAGTACTTGCAAAAGAAGTAAAAAAGAAAAGAAAATCTTAGATGTAGGCATTATAAGTATCAATATATTTCAAATTGTATGTAATATAAATGTAGTTACAAACATCCATAAAAAGTAGATATTATGTAATATATTCAATAATATATCAATGATAATTCACGGGGCACGAAACGCCTCCTATAACGGAATTTTTTTTGTTAAATTAAATATTCTATCTAGTTTAAAAGGTTTAATAACACATTAACAATGAATTGAACTATATTCTTTTATTATTAATACTTATAGCTAAATACAAATTATCATATTATGTTACAGTTTTAGTTTTGACAAACTAGTTTTGACAAATTAGTTTTGACAAAGGTTGAAAGATATATCATAATTTATTGCATTCTACGATTTCTTAAAAATACATTATTTAAATGTATAATAAAATTGTACCTTTCCATATATGCAATCAATTAAGTCTTTATGTATCAGCATTTGAGATCTATTAGATGTAATTTGGCACACACAATTATTTCCATACTATACACAAAACATTTTATATATTCATGAACTGATCAAATTTTACTATATAAATATTTAAAGGAAGTTTCAAAAATAATTTACTATGATATATCAAACATTACATTCATAAATTTTGTCATAAAGTATAAAATAAAATTATTTAATTTGATCCAATATTGTGTTTCGTGGTCCTGTTTTATTTTAATATAGAGGGCAGTATTTATATATTCCTTTGGTTCAGACAAATTGTACAATTAAAGAGCTTTAACTATAAGCAAACTGAGTGCAGAACCTGATATCAATCCTATACCAAGGAAAGCTCCCATCATAATACATGCAATTTCCTTCTCTTGAGAATCTACAACCCTGTGTAAAAATCCTTAGTATCAAACTAATAAAAATTTATTAAGTTAGTATATATAATAACTTACATAGGAGTTAAAATAAACGATAAATTACATAGATAGCCATTACTGATGGCAAATGCAACAGTCATTAAAATATAATAAAGATCATTATGAATATAAACAGAAAGATGATGTCGGGGCTGAGCATTACAAAATATAAAAGCTGGTACAAAGATGACTCTCATCAGACTTAAAAATACGACTTGCCGTGGTTTATTTTTTGGCTAAAATATTAATTTAAATATTATTATAGTAACAAAAAAGTATATATTTTCAAATAGCGTTTATACATACCCATTGAAAAATACCTGATAATATTCTTCCAGTATAATCACCACAACTAAAAATGAGGTAGGTCACCACAGGTACAAAATAGATATCTATAAAACATATAAAAAAGCTATAAAAATTTTATAATTATATAAAATTCAATTGCAAAACTTACCATTCCATACATAACCTTTGCCTTTATACTGACTCTCCACTAACACAGTAAGTGCTGGGTATACAGAAAAGGATATCAAAAATACTAGAAATACATTAATACCATAATGCCAAATTCTTTTAATAATACGCATATAAGATATTGTAGTGCCTTGCGAAAATGTTACTTCTCCGGTTATTGAATAATCTGCTTCTACATTTTCAGACAATTTTTCTACCATATGATGTCTGAAGAATACCTGTGGTAAAAAATAAATGATATCCATATGACATTATAATTTAAGTCTTCTCTTCAGTTCGCAATAGATTATTTTGTTATATGTCTGTTATTATCATAAGCCACTTATAAAACACCTGTATGATAAATATCATTATGGAATGCTAAATTACTTACTGCTTTTTCTAAAATTATATATGCAATCAAAGATAAGAACAATATAACATCTCCAATTATAAAATAAACTAGACCTGAAAGTACAGGACTAGCACCAATCCAAAGAGAACATATTTCTGCTGTAGCAGTAATAATTCCTCCAAGAGCTTGCCCACTTGACATAGCTGTTATATATTTTGGAGAAAAGCGTCCAGCAATACCCATTAAACTCCCTCCAAAAATTGCACTTGCAGCTAGAAGAACACAATGTTACTATTTTATCTAATTTAAATGTTGTAATATTCAATAATACTTCAAATTCTGGTGATATACCATTGACACATGCCACTGTGATCAAAGTAATTATTAAAAATGTTCCCTGCCCTAAAACCAAAGTTAGTATATTACTTTAAATGTAAAATATATATTTTTATTCTGAATATTATTTTTTTATTAAACTTACATTTGTCCGTATTTATTTTAACAAACATTGTTGTTAGAATAAAAAATAATAATATTGTGCATTGAGAGCCCACCATTCTTACTCTTAAGGGAATTCTGTTATTTTAATATTTTGTTATATAGTTTATATAGTTTAGTTGTTAGTTATATAGTTTAAAATTTCTTTTAATTTATATATTGCACTAATTCTTTCTTATTATATAATTACAGTTTTATTTTACTTACCTTTTACTAATGAATGCATTTACAATTAAAAAAAATGTATTTGGTAGTGCACTTGCTACGCTTATATATGATGTAAAACTAACTTGGAGATCAGTTTTTTTTTCTAAATTTTCCATATGAGTGTAATTAATACCTTTTGTAGAATTTTTCTGTATCTCTCGAAATTTATACAACCAATAATCATCAGCTGTGATAAAAAAGCTCCAAGGAATTAATGTATTTATACCAAGTACATAAAAAACAATATATGCGAGATTATATCTGCAAAGTATAATTTCCAACATTATGTAAATTTTTAAATACATACATGTACATATTCATACAATAATAAATTATGTATTCATAATAATGAATTAAATTATTTTAAACAGTTTTTACTTATCACTCGGTTCATATTGATTTAGGAATGGTTTTTCATCTGGAACAGAAATGTTTGGATCATCAGCTTCAGTTTCTAAATCATCTTCAAATTCACTGTCTGATACACCTCCTAGCAAAGGTCTTCTGTTTATAGAATATGACATGGTGAAACTAAAAATATTTAAAAAATTATTACATTGTTACAACATTTACAAAATTATAAACATTGTGATATGCTATATATATGATAACATAAATAAATAAATTTTATCATAAAGTTGGAATGAATATAATCATGTGCAATGAATATAACATTAATTAGACATAATTATATTTATATTTTGTACTTACAGTACTATATACAAAGCAGCAACAATGTTTCAACAAATTTTCTCTTGATAATTTATATACATTTAAAGCACTAATTATTTACATGTTGATAAATAATCAAAGTAAATTTCTTTAAACGTTATCGAATTTAACAGATGTAAATTCTTTCAGTGACCATGTTTAATAAACCACGTCTATGAAACGATTGACAATGTCCTCAGTACATTATTGTTTTACAGTCTCAAAAGACCTAATAACGTAAATATATATATACATATATAAGTTATTTGCTTGACCACCTGTGATTAAGCACAGATATAAAAACCGAATACTGTGGCATTATAGTATTACATTAATCCCAATGTTCTCCTTTCACCATTACTTATTTGTGTATAGACATAAAACAGCTGGTACATAATACAAATATGACATAAGGCATAAGGTATCGGTGTTAATGATGTATTATTAAAACCAAAGAGTAGGGATACTCTTTGGTTAAAACTATGCGATGCATCATATGGAAACAAAATATAAGTAAACTAGGACATTCTAAGCTGGTAGTACTTATTTTACTGATTAAAACTGGTGTTTATATTGCGCATTGTATATGATAATTTAACCAATCAAATATGACATTTTATTTTTATTTTTACTGATCGCGTACAGCTCGTATATACATATATATATATATATACATATCTGTACATACATATATAGATCCCACCATTGGTTAGACAAAAAGAAGAGGTTCAAGTCCAATGTTGCTCGAGTTTGCATACTGATGCGATGTAAAGACAGTTATGTAAAGTGTAAAGAAGTGTAAGTCAGTAGGTTTTATGTAGATTATACATCTGAAAAGTTATATTCCACGGCTAATGTGCGTCAGCTTCATTATTTGTATCTATCAAATGTAGAACGTTTAGTAAATTTGATGGATAGTAAATGCGATATTTATCGTATTTCAGCTCGTAAACGTTTACATGATATGGACGTATAATGACAGTATAGGAAACTGCAAAAATGTATTGTGCATTAGGAAGATGGTAAACAAGTTTACTTGATTAAATTCATCAAAATATAATTAAATGGTATCATTTTTTTTAGTATTTTAGTCGATTTAACAATCATCTTATAGTTTTTGTAGGAAAAATGCAGTAAGAGCTTTAAGTACGGGTGAAATATCCACTGCACTGCGACCTTTTTATTTTACCGTTCACCCCGATCTTTTTGGACAATATCCCACGCAAAGAGTGAGTATATTTTAATATAATAAGTTGAACAACTTATAAAAAGTAAATTTTGAAGGTAAACGATTTAAAATCGTTTATACGTCAGCAACACAGTTCATTTGATTATAGTTAGAATTATTTATAGAACAAAGGAAGTGCAATAATTACTGCATACACGTGTATGCATGTATAAATACTTATGTATAAATAAATTCTTTACACTATGTGAAAATTTTCAATTTCTACTAAAAATGGTAATGTATTAAATATATAATATTTTTGCTTTTTTAAATGTTTCAGACAGTAAATGAAAATTCTTTAAAACAACTAAGTTCTATTATAGAAAGTTTACAACAGCAAAGACCAATAAGACCTACCACTTTACCATTTTATTTACGCTCAAAAAATGAAAAGGAACTCAAGTCTGGAAAATTTACTTTGGTACAGATACAGTTGAAAGAAAAGGATTTAAGACAAACTATACTTTCTATCTTGAAGACATGTGATTTGCCAACAACGTTTGTAGATCAAATTGAAGAACAAAAGCCACCAGATAGTACAAAGTACAAGTCAAGATATTGGCAAAGAAAAGGAGCTGGGGAAGATATAGATTTCTCAGAACTAGAAGATGATCCTATTTATGCATCTATTTTAATGAAAAGAAAAATTAATTCAGAACCTGATACTCTTAAGTAAGTCTATTTTAATCTTTTATTTATGTAACTAAAATAATAAAAACTTGAAGCTAATTATGATTTTATAGGGCATATTTAGATAAACACATTAATGAAGTACATGTGAAGTTAGAAGCATGTAGACCAATGAGAGAAGAAGTACAAAAGTTAGAAAAGATATTATGTTCTGAATTAGGTTTGAAAAATATTATATGGGACTGTGGATGGAATATAGCTCATTACAGGGGATGTTTATTAGCTTTTAAAGCATTAGCTGAACATCATCCTGAACCAATGGAAGTACTCAAAAATAGAACACTTGTCTTTGCTAATGATACTGGCATAAGTGTAGAGGGAAATGTTATGTTAAATTCAGGTGAAGTTAGACACAATTGGCTTGATGTAAGAATAAATTATTAAATTTATATAACATTTATAATATATTTCACTTTGCTAAATCAATATTTATTTTAACAGTTAATCAAGAACATTCAGAAGTATGATGTGGTATTATTTAGATTACCAGCTTTCGAAAAGGCAGTTTCACAAGTGCTTCTTGACATTAAAGTTGGTCGACGGTGCGTAATACAACACATTAATTGAGTGACGGTAAGGCTCAGGGTACTCTATATGTGCAGGAAATTCATGCCAAAAGTAATGGTTAGCCAGTATGAACGTCAACTTCGACAACTTACAACAACCCTCTCGGATTATCGAGGACGACGAAATTATCCGAAAATGTGGCCAGCCGATTTATCTACTTATGAAATCGTAATTGAAGCGTTAGTATTACTTACATCTACCTATTTAACGTTTAATATATATTTTCTTTCAGTTCATTTATAAGTATATATATTTAATAGTGACTTAATTTATTTGTAAGTACAATATAATGTAAATTTAGGGTATACGTAAGAAGTGTGAGTAAATTAAATTTTATTTTCAGTGAAGCAGGACCTTTAATGCTCTCTCCTACTGGACAGTTTATAGTTCCATCTTCATGTCCAAGTTTCCTTTTAGTAAACTTTATTACTGATAATTTAGAAGAAGCCACTAAAAGATTACATCATTACAATAAGTAAGATCGTGTGGTAATCTAGCATAAAAAATTAGTTCATTATTCTAAATATTGCTTTTTGCAGCATAAAATATGTAGAACGTGAACTACATGACAAAACAGTCCAGGAATTGGGGTTGACTGTTTTAAATAAGGATGACAGTATAACTCCTGATTTGATGATACAATGCTGTGAACGCCTATTATTGCATAAAAGCATTCTAGCTCCTTTATTGAAAGGTGTTATGCTTTGGGTGACACATTATTACTCTGTTATGAGTGATGGTGTATTATGTATTCCATGGGACTGGAAACTTTGAGTTTCAGTGTAAAATATTTTCTAATGTCTTCTTGCTATTTTTAACATCGTACCGATTAATAGAACAATGACAAAAAACTGATTAATTGTTAATAATTATTATATAGGTTATACGTGTGATAAAAGATTTACATAGATTACATAGATTAGTTAGATTTACATAGGTTAAAAAACTAACTTAGGGAATTGCACAAAGCAAATAACTTTTGCATTATGCTTTGTAAAATACAATTAGCAATGCAAATAATTCATTGTACCTTATAAGCTATATTCGCATGTTAAATGTAATTATTATGTAACTAATGTTAATACATTGTACATGAATTTTTGAATTTGAGTAAATATAAAAAAGAGGATATTTTGTAAAATCATGCAATGCGAATAATGCATGTAGAAAAATAAAGATTAGAAAATTTTTACATTAATGCTAAACTTTATTAAAATTCCTTCAATTCAATATCTCACTATTGTTAGAATTACAAAATCTCTCCTCTCTCTTCTCCGTCATAAACTTTTCATAATTATATCCAGACTTGCGCAGAAAATCTGACACCAATCATTAAGAAATAGAATATACATACATTTGATTTATGGTGGGGCGAACGAGAGAGACCGACAGACGCCTTGCGATTTAGTATAAAACTATCATGATGGCCGTTACGTTATTATGACAAGAGATACGTCAAACGTGTTCCTGATTTCGTTGGTCCTTCATGTATACACAAACAATAAAAATGCCGGTCCAGAAAGATACAAATATCGTAAAAATCGCTGTTCAGATGACGGAACAAGTACCACAACTTATTGAATTTAATCAAAAACATCCACTTACTGCTATTATTCAGGTAATTACAAATTAAAAATTAATAATTTATTATATATAACATACATAGAAATTTTGTTAGTATACGTATTTTATTTGTATTTTATTGATATTCTTTAAGAAAATTTGCCTAAAATTAAGTGTATATAAGATAAAGGCTTATGTAAAATGAGAATTATATATTTTATTTTTATTAGGAATTGTGTAATGGGTGGGGTCTTTCTGATCCTGAATCATATTCATTACAATTTTCGGAGAGTAACAATCAAAATTATATCACAGAAAAAAATCGTAATGAAGTAAAAAATGGTAGTATTTTGAGATTGGAATTTTCCCCCTCTAAAACAGCCTGTGATATTCTAACCAAGCTCAATAATGGGACTATGGAAGAAAAAATTACTGCTTTGCAAAAATTGAGCACTCTTAGCACAGATATGACATTTGCATTAGAATTTATTAACAAGCAAGGATTAGCTTTAATTATATCACAGGTATTACAAATTTGTTTCTTTAGTTTAGTTATATTATTTTATACTTTATTGTAATTTATAACATACATAGGTGGAAGGCGAAAAGTATAAGGGAAATGCACTTGCATATTCACTTCAATCATTTGTGGAGCTAATGGATCATGGAATTGTTTCATGGGATATACTAGAGACACCTTTTATTAATAAAGTAGCAAGCTATGTGAACAATCAAGCTGTAATTCAAGATACTAGTATTATTGAAGCTTCACTTAGCATTCTTGAAAATATAGTATTGAATTCATCAGGAAAATATGGACAAGTTGAAAAAGAAGTTACATTTCCTAATCTAGTGATGCATTTACAAAGTGCTCGTCCACAAATACAACAAAATGCAATAGCTCTAATAAATGCCTTATTTCTTAAGGCTGATTTATCTAAACGTAGAGCTGTTGCTGCAACTCTTCAATCTAAACAAGTTAGAAATGTATTTTTGACGAATATCATACAATCTACTGGTCAGGTATAAAATCTTTCTTTTTTTCATATTATACAGGATGTACAAAAAGTTAGGGAAATACTTTAGGAACATATAGTACTCATCAAAACAAGTAAAAAGAAATCTTAATAAACAACAGTTCAAAAATCATTAGTTTCTAAAGTTACAAGGTGTTTTTGTCAGTAAGACATTTACAGCATATGTTTCATATGTCTCCCATTCATTTCAACGTTCACTTTGCCACATCTTCTCATAGGAACATGCATATGTTAAAAGATTCCTAGCATTTCTCTTATTTCTTGACAGTAGTTTTCAATTTGTTGTATTAACTCATTTGACAAAGCAATTGGTTTATACACTTAACATCTTGTAACTCCAAAACTAGTGGCTTTTGGATCCACGTTTATTAAGACCTTTTTACATGTACTCCGTATATGCATATAAATTTATGATACAATCAAATTTAATTATAGGTTGGTGCAGAAATGGCGCACCAATTATATGTACTTCAAACACTTATGTTAAGTTTGTGGGAACAGCGTATGATGACAAAAATGGATCCACAAGATCAAGATGCACATGATAAGATTAAAGAACTTCGAAGAATTGCTTTTGATACTGAAGGAGCTGTAGGTGGAGATATTACTGCTAGAAAACAGGGTCTTTTTGCTAAGGATTATAAAAAATTGGGTTTCAAATATGATATTAATCCTGCTCTTGATTTTACTGAAACTCCACCCGGCATGCTTGCTTTAGACTGTATGGTTTATTTTGCACGTAATCATACTGAAGCTTATACTAAAGTTGTTTTAGAAAACTCTTGCAGGGCAGATGAACATGAATGTCCTTTTGGTAGAACAAGTGTGGAGCTTGTCAAATTACTTTGTGAAGTAAGTACTTACATAAAACTTAACATAAGCCCTTAAAATAAATTAAATTCTCCATTGGATTTGATTAGGTTTTACGTATTGGAGAAGCACCTAGTGAACAAGGACAATCATATCATCCTATGTTTTTTACACATGATCATCCATTTGAAGAGTTCTATTGTGTATGCATAGTCCTTTTAAATAAGACTTGGAAAGAAATGAGAGCCACCACTGAAGATTTTGTAAAAGTATTTTCTGTTGTCAGAGAACAAATTACTAGAGCACTTCAGTGTAAACCTACAGCATTGGATAAATTCAAAAATAAATTACAACAATTAACATATTCGACAATTACTAATTTATGGCAACAAGAAAGGACTAGCAGGGAAGAGTGGGAAAGTCATGCAAGACCCATAGTTGAGCTCAGAGAACAAATTACACCTGAAATCTTAGAACTTATTCAACAACAACGCTTAGGATTCTTAGTAGAAGGCACCAGATTTATGAAATATAGCGCTAGAGGACAGGTATTGGTCGTCATATATTTCATAAAATATTAAATGAAACGATATTTTTGTTGCTTTAACGAACATTATAATGTATATAGAGAATAAAGGATAAGTTCTGGTACGTTCGACTTTCACCAAATCATAAAGTATTCCATTATGGTGACTGTGATGAAAAATCAGTACCAACAATAGATGAACTTCCTACAAAATTAGCTGTTGTTGAAATTCGTGCTTTACTGACTGGTAGAGATTGTCCCCATATGAAGGATTTGCAGCGACGGAAAACTACGCATCAGTTGGCTTTTTCTTTAATTTTAGATTCTGTAGAAGTCTCAAGCCTAGATTTCGTTGCTCCTGATGAACAAGTTTTTGATTATTGGACAGATGGCATTAATGCTTTACTTGGTATGTTGTAATGTTATTCTCGCCTTTAACTGACATTTCTTCAAATCCAAAAAGAGCATGTTTTATTTATAGGTAGTAGAATGACCAGTAAAGAGGCGGAAAATGATTTGGAGACATTATTATCCATGGACATTAAACTAAGACTTTTAGATACGGAAGGAATTGATATTCCCCAAGATCCACCTGCTATTCCCGATCCTCCATCAAATTATGATTTTTGTTATGAATTAAAATAAGAATTTCGTCTTATATATGTTCAATAATTGTTATAATAATTTAACATAAGATATATTGGCAAGGTAATGCTTAAATATTTATATGTCAAAGAGAAAACTAATTATAAGCTATAACAAGCTATAATAAGCTATCCTAAACTATAATTTTTATACATACAATTAATTCTTGGCATGTTTTATTAATGCTGTTTCAACACAATACTTTTAATTATATACATAAATTTTTAATTATGTAAACCAAAACTGATACTTTAATTAGGTACAAAAATGCAGTATATTTTACCAAAGATACATTTCACATGTACAAATTATATACATATAACATTTTCAAAATTATTTGTATATATCAAATTTATATTTACATGATAATATATCCCATCTTTTTTATCTAATGATCATAAGAGGATAAAAATATAATATTATATATGATTCCTCTAATAAATTTTTAGTTAAATTATTCCAATCATGACGAAACTTTATTTAGAGAGAAAATGCAGTGTTTAAGGTATAAAAAATTCATAAATATAAATTAATAAATTATTTATTGAATCATTTCTTATTTAATATCATGAGTAAAAAGCTATAATATTAAAAGCAATAATCATCGAGATTATGTGCAGGTACATATGTGACAGTTGACAATGTTAATTGCTTAGTTAATAACATTTTCAATTTCTTAGAGGTGTAGTATTACTGAAATATAGTAATTGCAATTTATCATTATTTACATAATATCTTCTGAAAGTATCTGGTAGTTTTGTGGATCATTTGTTTGATGATTTGGAGGACATAAAAAGAATTCTATAAAGTTGAGAACAGGACCTCTACTAAAGGGATTCAAATATCTTCCTTTTTTGTCTCGTAAATACGAGTACCGTTTATAATTAAACATTTCATTTGTTGTTAAATTCATACACGCATGTAAGACCTGTATAAAGAAAAGAAATCGTTACAAATATAGATACTATGTATGACATTCGATGTTAAAACAGAATAAATTTTGATATTTACTGAAGTACATGTCAAAATCCATCCAAGCCCACAGAATACTAATGCTTCTAGTACACCCAATACATATAATAATTGGATTCCTTCAATTGCCATACAATAGCAAGCAAAATAAATAGTGAATGAACAATTTATTGCTACACACATAACAAAAAGAAAGAACCACATTCTGTAATAATAATTAATGGATTAATTATAGAAAATATTGAATTATAATTTTCTATGATTAAATATAAATTGTATTAGACATTACCTGTTTCTCAAACCTACACAGTTATATATAAATGGGCAGTGATGATCAAAATATGTAACACATCTGTTGCAGATTCTGCAATGCTTAGCTCTTAAAGGCCTAAAACACCTACAGCTATGACACAAACGTGACAATACAACATTTCTTTTTTTCCATTTATCAAAATATGGAATCTGAAAATAAAAATCGTTTTATGTAAAATGGCTATATAATATTTTATAATATATCATAGAATTATAGAATACTTGTTTAATTGCTCTATAATAGGTTTCACTATTCTGGGGTACATAACCAGGATCTCTTCTGTTTGCTACAATCCATGAGATCCACATAACAATGTTCCAATAAATAAAACAATAGTGACTGCCACGTAAAAGATTCCATGTTAATGGAATACATTTTAATAAATACATTGGATATCCCCATAAAAGGACGGATATCATAAATAATAATATAGGACCTTTACTGTTTCCAGCTCCACCAAATAATAATGCCCTTAAAGGAGAAGCAAGAATAAATATCTCAATTGATAACATTTTCTGCAAAACACTTTACAAAAGGAAATTACAAACCACAGTTCGTTAATCGGCGGAATCCATCTAGCTCGCCGTTTCTGTTCAGCTTGTAGTATTCTTACAATTTCTGAATGTCTGTGACTTTTTGCCAATTGTAATGGTGTTTTACCATTTTTATCACGAGGTTCTAGTTCAATCTTGCTTTTTTCACATAATATTTTTACACAACTGACATTTCTAGAAAGACACGCTAAGTGTAGTGGAGTGGATCCAAAGTAATCTGGTTTTTGCAAATCTACTCCACTATACATAAGTAATCTTATTAATTCTGCATGACCTTTATATGCAGCCCAATGAAGTGCAGTATCTCCATTTATATCTGTTAAATGTCCTAGTGCACCAGATCCTAACAAAAATGCTGCTGTTGCAAATTTTCCAAACATACAAGCAGTCATGAGTGGTGTTAAACCTTTAAAATCCGCTGCATTAACAGCAACTCCAGCCTGAAATCAAATGAAAACAATTTAAATGTAGATAAATAAATAATAAGCTATGAAACTGTTTATTTCATTTTAATACCTTTAACAATAGCTGAACTATTGCACTATGACCTTTTCGACAAGCCCAATGTATCGGTCTTGGTCCTTGAGTTCCAAGACAAGAAAGATCAACTGGTCCATTTCGTTCTATTAAATATCTCATTACCTGTAATATGACAATAAATATAGTAGTTAAAGAAAAAGAAATTTATTCTTTTTGAATAAAATTAATTTACAAAAGCTTACTTCAATATTTCCATCCAGAGCAGCCCAGTGGGCAGGAGTATATCCCCATTCGTCTCTTGCACTTAATACACTTAAACCATTTTTTTCTACCAATTCATCGACTGCCCCAATCTCACTAAAAGAACTTTTTATTTATTTTGATCATCCTTGTATTTATTCGCACAAATAACATTATATTTATAAAACTAATAGTGTGTACTGCAGATACCCAGCTCTAAGAAGTTCAAATATTTGTTTTGTTTCATCAGATGGAGTTTGACCTGGTGCAGTTTCATCGGCATAAATATTATCATCAGGGCCATTTCTAGATCTTAATTCAGTGCCTTTAGGTGGTTCATGACTGTGATGAGTAGTGCTAGAAATTGGAGTATTTGGTAGATGCCCGACCATGTCGGGATCTGGACTTAATTCCCATACGGATCTCGCTGCACCTGGCCCTGTTACAGGGCTCACAGGATATACCTAAAATTAACATTAATTTTTATTATTAAATAGAATTTGAAATTTAAAAATGTTCAATTCATTATATAAAATGAAAAAATGTATAATTCCAATCAAAACACTTAAATTTAAATTTGGAATTTTAAAAATTACAATTTAAAAATATAATTTAAAGTTTTAATTTTTTTTTTAAGCCTTTAATATGTATCACATTATTTTTTTATATTCCACAAAGTTCCAATTCTTCCATTATTGCATGTACGATATGGTTTATATGAAAAAACTTTAATCAAAGCTTACTTTGCAAAACGTTGCGAGTTCCGGATTTACACGTTCGTGTTCTGAAGGTGTCCTAAAAGATGTACCCTGTACAGAGGATGTTCCACCTTCTGGAACGGTTAGTCACAAAGAAATATTTGGTCCAACCATGTTTTCTAATCTCCTTTTTGTTATACACCTTTTCTCTCAGCGTGACAGATTCTAGAACAATACGTTCTTCGTAATAGCACTATGTCAAGTTACAAACAGCAGTGTTCGCATTTCTAAATGGGACTATCGTTATATGATATTGCGCATTTAAATCAATACTTCGGTTGAATAAACGCCTGCGTACTAAAATTAGCAAAATCCTGAAATTTATACTATGTATGGTACCTTTTATAATTTCGACATAAAAATATGCATTTTATTATGTTTTATAGAATCACCAAAATCAAAATGGCATTTCAAAAATTTGGTGAATGAAACTAATAATCTGGTATGATAAATGAAATACATATATATAATACATGTATAATGATAATTTACATAATTATGTTACATGATAAATATAGTTGTTAGATATTACGTATATATAAATATTTAAATAGTCTACTTTTTAAATATTTCTGAAATCAAAAAAGAATCGCTTTCCGAATTTGAGCAGAGAGAAAATGAGAGCGCTCACGCTTTTGGTTGTTCCCGAACTAGTGCTGCACCATGCGGTCAAGTGCTGAGTTTAACTGACGCTAGTATATACAAGAACCTATAAAATTAGGGATCTGTCCTGTTTGGTTGTACCTTGGCATACACAAGAACTTATTGAGTACCATGCTACAAGAACCTATTTAATTGTACGGTTATCCAAGATTATTTTTCTATCCAAGATGGACAAGCATAAGAATGATAAAATCGCGTAATAATGAAAGCAATTGTAAGTTACCTAAGCAAGAGAAATTAATCGTTTACTATATTTTTTTTGGCGAAGAAAAGAGAATATTCCCTTTCAAACGATTATGGATTACTGGAATGATGCAATAATTTTAATATTTCTCGATATACCATTTAGATTTAACATTAATCCATGACATTTAGTACGTTAATTGTATTGGCATGAATATTTTGTCATCGTAGTATAAAATCACATATTCTTTTTCCTTAGTACGATGGTGTTTGCATATGAGGTCATTTATTGTTGTAAAATGTTATATATGTCTTTTTGATAGTACTCATATAAATAGAGATAAATAGAGACGACATATATAGGTTTCTAATCTAGAAAACCATTGGTTCAAAAGTTTTGCGCTCTTAAAGTTTGATACTTTCAGCCTTTTTTTTTTACGTGGAAGGAATCTTTATAGGTAGGTTCTTTCCTCAGAGAACGCAGGGTAGTGTTTAATTTTTACCGGTTAAAACCTCTACGATGGCCATCCCGGACTTTGAGAAAGGGGTTCCCAATCAGACAGGTGGCAGCTCCGCGGCGCTGGCCCTTATCCCCAGCGCCTAGGACCTATCGGCCACGGCGCCCGTGTCCTCCACTTCTCCATGAAAGCTGCGTTCCCTTTCTAGATCGGCTGCCTTTTTCCGGAGCACTACCTGCTCGCAGGAACAGGTGACCGCCCTCCGGTCCTTCATGCCTTTGTATTATTTCCAACCCTGCTTTATATGTGTCATCGTTCAAAAATATAGTAGATAGTACATTTCTCTTTTTTAGCTAACTTACAATTAGTTTCATCATCACGCGACTGTCATTCTTATACTTGTTTATCTTAGATAGAATAGTAGATATGAACTTTTCCGTAAAACTGTGCAATTAAATAGGGTTTTCTAGCATGAAATTAAATACGTTCTTATCTATGTTAGTAAGCAATCAAACAGTGCAGACCCCTAACTTTAAGCTTAACACATTGTTGACCAGTCACGAGTTAACTTGTGTTTTCATGCCCAAACGTTGCCGACCGGCCACAAGTAAACTCGTGATGCGCTTTGTTTTCGCATCGACGTCGTTTTCTCAGTGCGCTGTTGGAGATCATACAATGCAATTGTTGGTCAGCATACCTGTTCGGGATTTGGAGTGGCCGCCTGGTAATTACTGCGACGCTTTATGTGAACCAGATGCGATCCTCGGAGAGGACGACCGTCAAGGGTCTACGCTACCCTAGTGCGGACCCATCATAAACAGTGGGCCTATTGTACAGTCAAGGTACTTTAGGATCCCACGAAAAAGACCCATAAGGCACGTAACTTCCTTATTTTATGGTATATCTCAGAAAGACCGGAAACGCGGGTTTTCCCGCCAAGTGTAAGGTCACCCGCGCGCGAACCTTCATGAAGGCGGCCAGCCCATCCTCCAACAAACGTCTTTACCCAATGATCAGTTAGGAACAGACTTGAGGCACATCCACCACGAACTTTCCTCTACGACAGCAACATCACCAAGAGTCACTCTTGCACCAGTATTCTAAGAATCAACATATAATCGTATTCAGTCAGTGACCATTATATTTAACAGGATAGCCAGTGAACTAATGACAATTGTATTCAGAGTATTAAGTGGAACCTAGTGAACTTAAAGACGGTTGTATTCAGAGTATTGAGTGGAATAAATAAGGTGACCTAAACCTCGCTCTGTACATTTATTATAATCCTCCACCTTGGACGCTAATAACGTTCAAGGCTCACGATACCAACCGATTAGTTGTGCCTGACTGGTTGCTAGTTAGTTGAGTGTCGTAACAATACCTCAAGTTGTGTCTCTCGCTTATAAGACTCGTCAAGTTGTGTCCTTCGTTGTAAAAGAAATTTCAGCGATGACGGAACGTATCAATGAAGAATCTTTCAATGAATTATATGCGGATGTTTTATCTGATTGTCCGAGTGATTGTGAATCAAATTGTGGTGACTTGGAAAATGATACTGTACCAGAAAATAGTGAATCTGATATTAAGCCGTCAAAATATCATTAACCCTACGTGCATATTATAATACAATAAGCACATGAAAGGGGTAGATCGTGCAGATCAGTATTTGGCGAACAATAGTATTTTACGAAAATCTTTAAAGTGGTCCAAAATATTAGCATTTTTTCTGATAAACTGTACCTTGTTCAGTGCATATAAAATGTACTGTACCCATCTGCCAGAAAATAAAACAAGATACAAAAAATTTCTACTGGAAGTAGGTCTTTTTTTTGCACGTGGAGAAATCCTCATGGACACTCCGCTGCTGCTAATAATCGGTAACAGCAGAGTAGTGTCGGACTCTTACCGACTAAAACTCCACGATGACCATCCTACTCGTATGACAGGAGCGCTCCAGGAACCTCTTATGAATTATCTTCCGTTGCATCCCCTTCCTGCGCCCTCTTGTTCCAACCAGTTTTAACAATTCCCTGACTTTGGCGGTAGGGGGAGGCATTACCCCTAGCGTTCCGGACAACTAAGAGACCACATCATAGAAAAAATAGTCACTGGCAGAAAAACAAATCTGACTAGAGCGTGTAGAGGTGTGCTCTTCAAAAGGAAAATGCAACGAAACTAGATATATTTGCAAAAGCTGTTGTGTGTACCATTACACGTAGGTAATTGTTACACTGCTTATCATACGAAAAAGAAATAGTAGAAGTTGAATAATAAATAAAATTTATTAAAGTTTATCTATATTGTTTTACTTCCACATCCAATTACGAAATAATAGCCGGTGACATGAGATAAATTCTCAGTAAAATTGCCGGCCAACAATGTATTAAATACATAGGTTCTTATGTATACTAAGTTCCAGTCAAACAGCCCTAGTTTTATAGGTGTTTATATGTGCTGATCTCGATTAAACTCAACACTTAGCCGCATGGTGCAGCACGTGTATTGTGAAACTAGAAATACAGGCATAAGTACTCATTTCCTATCTAGTATGAGGTATAACTACGTGGCGTCGGATAAACTGTTTTTAGTACACAAAGTGTAGTTCTCGTTTCGGAATTAGGAGTTTTGTAATGTCTAAAATTTGTTAAATGTCGTTTGCTAATATAATATGGCTCCTACAATTCAAACTAATGGTAATACAGCTGAACGAGACAAACGTACGACTAGACCAGCAGAGAAAAGGTAAGAGATTTGATTATAACCTGTGGTTTTTATAACAGTGATATTTTATACTCTTTTGTTATTTTTATTTCAGATCTGAGTTAATATGTAGAGTTAAATATTGCAATACATTGCCTGATATACCATTTGATCCTAAATTTATTACATATCCTTTTGCATCCACTCGGTAAGATCAGATATTTAAATGTCACTAGTAGTTTAAATAATGTATAATTAATTAATATTCGTAGGTTTATTCAATATAATCCAACTTCACTGGAACGTAATTATAAATATGAAGTATTAACAGAACATGATTTAGGTGTAGAGATTGATCTTATAAATAAAGATACATATGCTGGAGATGTGAATGCTCAATTAGATCCTGCTGATGAAAAACTTTTGGAAGAAGATGTTCTTACTCCACAAGATTCTAAAAGATCTAGACATCATGCCAGAAGTGTGTCTTGGCTTCGACGTACTGAATACATTTCTACAGAACAAACTAGATTTCAACCACAAACTGTGGATAAAGTTGAAGCTAAAGTTGGTTATAGTATTAAGAAAAATTTCAAAGTGAGTCTTGATATTTATATATTTTATTTGTACTAAAATTTTCCTCACATGCATAAAATTGTGTTATATTTGCATTTATAGGAAGAAACATTATATATGGATCGTGAAAGTCAAATAAAAGCGATAGAAAAAACATTTGAAGACAATAAAAAGTCCATTGAAAGACACTACAGTAAGCCAAATGTAGTACCTGTAGAAATTTTGCCAGTATTTCCAGATTTCAAGGTATTTTAAATACTTTTATAGGATATAAGTATGTATTTTAGTTCTTTTATTATTTTTCAATGAATCTTTTTCAGCTATGGAAATATCCTTGCGCACAAGTTATATTTGATTCAGATCCAGCACCAACTGGACGTTCTGTGCCAGCTCAAATTGAAGAAATGTCGCAAGCTATGATTCGGTAAATTCATACTTTTTTTTAGTTCATTAGTACAGTAAACTATAGCCAATACTTGAGTTATAACATTTTACAAAATATTATAACAGAGTTATTATTTTAGGGGTGTAATGGATGAAAGCGGTGAACAATTTGTGGCATACTTCTTACCTTTAGAAGAGACATTAGAAAAACGTAGAAGAGATTTTGCAGCTGGTATTGACTATGCAGATGATGATGAGTACGAGTATAAGATGGCTAGAGAATATAATTGGAATGTCAAGAGTAAAGCTTCAAAAGGATACGAGGAAAATTATTTCCTTGTCATAAGACAAGATGGGGTATGTTTTATATTAAAATTACATTAAAATGTATGTTTTACATTAACTATGTGAGATGTATGTATTTTATCATTATCTATCTGTGTTATGTAGGTGTATTATAATGAATTGGAAACGAGAGTACGACTTAGTAAACGTCGTCAAAAAGTTGGACAACAACCAAATAACACAAGATTAATAGTAAGACACCGACCACTTAATGCTAATGAATTCAAAATGCAAAGATATAGGGAGAAACAGTTGGAACCACCAGGAGAAGAAGATGAAGATGAAGAAGAGGAGGAGGAAGAGGAAGAGGAAGAACCTCAACAAGAAGCTGAGAAAGTAGAAGATAGAGGTCGTTAATATTACATAAAATTCTATTAGCTATGTATTATGCATATTTTTAAAATAATTTTATGATCTATTGTTATTTTAGAAGGTTCTGAAAATGAAGCCGAATCTAGAGCATCGTCAAGAGCATCTTCCCGAGCATCATCAAAAGCATCATCCCGAGCATCTAGTAAAAAATCCCGCTCTCGTTCGAAATCTCGTTCTAGATCAAAATCTCGTTCGGCATCACCATCAAAGTCTAGATCTGCTTCGCGTTCACCTTCTGAATCCCAGTCTCCTAGGTCGCACAGTAAGTCCAGGTCAAGATCTGGTACTCCTCAATCCAGAAACTCTTCTAAATCAAGATCCCAATCAAAGTCACCTTCAAGGTCACGATCCGCATCACCGGCTAAATCTCGTTCTGGATCTCCAACTAAATCTCGATCTGGATCTCCAGCTAAATCTCGGTCTGGTTCACCATCAAGTTCAAAATCTAGATCGAAGTCGAGATCTCCATCTCGATCTCGATCAGCTAGTGGCAGTGATAGCGAATCCGGTAGTGGCAGTGGTGAAAGTGGTTCTGAGAGTGAATGAACAATAATAATAAGAGAAAATAATAATAATAAGAAGAAAAATAATAATAATAGTAAGAAAAAATATAATAATAATAAGGAAGATGAAAAACTATGTATATATTAATTGTTATAAAAGTAAAGTAAAATGCAGCCACAACATATGCAAAATTTTTAATAATAAAAGATAATCGATGAAGGAGGTTACATTTTTTCAAAACTATTATATTTAGCATAGAAATGTACCGATAGAGGGCAGTCTGTGTTCCTTTACGTGCCTGTAAGCTTCTTTTAAGTAGCATTGCATCATCAACATGACGTATCGAAACTGTGTTTTACCGTGACACGCATGATAAATTATTAGTAACAAAAGTCTCAATTGTGCAGCTTTTATGGTGATACGAAATCAAGAATTTAGACTATTTGTATGGAATATAAAAAGTAAGTAAAATTTCACATGTACGTAACGCGACATCTTTCGTCATATGAGTTTGCCTTAGAGTAAGTACTTACGTACTCTAATCGTTTAAAATAGACTATATGTTCTAAAAACACTGACCCTAACTTATATGATGTGACGTATTGTCTGTTATGGATTTATGATTGTACATAAATACATTATATACATATATTATTTGAGCTTACTACTTAAATATTTAACAAAAAGTAATTGAATAAGTAACAACGCGATATTTTATTTACAACTTTAACAATATATTTAAAACACTTAAAAGTAGCATTCATGAAAGTTTTTAAATTGAATATATCTTTTAAAATGAATTGTAGATGGCACCCAAAAATAAAGAAAATAACACATCTGGAAATAAGAAAAAAAGACAAATTTCTGAAGAAGAAGATGATGAAGATTATCGACGGCGCAGAGACAGAAATAATCAAGTAAATGAAAGCAATTAATTATTTTCTAGAAACTATATTGAAAACATTTATGTATTTATTTAATATTCTAATACTTTTTTAGGCTGTAAAGCGTTCTAGAGTTAAAAGTAAATTACGTACACAACAAACGTTAGAACGTGTAAATCAGTTAAAAACAGAGAATGAATTACTTGAGGAAAAAATTAAGATGCTTACAAAAGAATTAGGATTTTTGAAAGACCTTTTCCTTGCACATGCAGGTATACAGATTTACATTATGATCATGTAATCGTAATATCTTTTTATAGTTTTTAATGTATGTGTTATGCTTATAATTTTAGGTTCTAGCCAACATTCTGTAAGTTTTCAAGATGTAGACTTAAATGCTCTTTTGGCTGAAGACACAAAACCCGTGGAACAGGTGAAAGAGACATCTAAGCCATAGGTCAGAATAAATTCCACGTGAAACAAGTAACGTGGTATTGATCAGATCTGAGATGAAGATGCACTTTGGTTCGTCTATTTCTAATAAAATGTCAGACTTCTTGGAAAGATGTCTGCTTATAATCGACTTTTAATGAATTTGAAATGCATGATATCTTAGTGTATGCAGGCCTTTGCATGTGAAATTCATTATTATTGAAATCTCAAACACCAAATAAGACAAGCAACAAAATTTAAAGACTAAAAAATTGACAACGCATGTAGAGATCAAAATTACTGTCAATGGAGGAAATAATATGTTACATGAAGAAACATACTGTATTTGCAAAAAAAGATAGGTGAATAACAAGAATGCGTATAATACATTTAAGTATGTTTACAGCGGTAAAAATTTAATGATTCCACAAAAAGAATATATTTTGATAATAAATTTACATGTATATAGTAAACTCTTATTTACTATAATGATAAAGATAAAATTCTATGAGTTATAGTTGCTTTAATAGCATTATTTTAAGCATTCCATTGTAATTGAGTTTTCGGTATTTACCGTTAAATATTTTATGCAACTGAAATATTAAACGGATGAAGTTTTATAAATTATAATACGACAAAAATTTATTTTAAGAAACTATATTACTATAGAAGACATTTATTGTTATAATGTTTGTGAAACGTCAAGAATTTAGAATTAAATAAACTGAAATACCAGCCAGTCACTAGTATTTATTCAATTTGTAAATAAATTTATATTTTCCGAAATGGGACATATCTTTGATGAGAACAGATAGTATACGTTTCCCCTAGGAAAACAGCTGTCTTCATTCTGTTACTAGAGTTAATGTTGACTTCAGTGACTTAAGTTATTTTTTTAATAATGGCATGAGTTTTAATAGCGGAAGTAAATATAGCGCAATTTAAACGAAAGACTGGATATGGGGAAAACGACAAAAGTAGTTGTTTGTGGAATGAAAGGAGTAGGAAAGACTGCATTATTGGAACAACTCATATATGGAAATGTCAATGCCAAAACAGTAAGAATATAGGTTATGTTTGTATAAAAATCAATTGCGGTACAATATATTCTCAACTTTAAATTTGTATTTTAACTACAACAATTAACGTACTATATTTATTTATGTCAAATTATATTTTATAATTTAAAAGGAAATTCACCCTACGATCGAAGATATTTATGTCGCAAATATAGAAACTGATCGCGGTACGAAAGAAAAAGTGCGATTTTATGACACTGCGGGACTGGAATCTCCTCAGAATAATGCAAATAATCAGCAACTACCTCGACATTACCTTGGTTTCGCTGATGGATACGTTTTAGTTTACGATACCGCAAAACCTGAATCTTTGGATGTGTTGTTCCCATTGAAAAAGGATATTGACAGGAATAAAGACAAAAAAGAAATAACCATGATCGTTATTGGAAATCGAACTAAAGCTGAGGAAGAATCTCATAGTTTGGAGAATATAGCAAGCAAAGCTGCAAATTGGTGTACTAGAGAGAAACTGAAACATTATGAGGTAAATGTTATGGATAGAGCAAGTTTGTTTGAAGCATTTGTTAATTTATCGTCTAGGTTGAATCCTCCTACAAATAAGAGCACATTCCCACAGTTAAGTATGGGTAGAAAAAACATAAAAGTTGATGGACTTTAATCACATTTATTTATAATCTTAATCTAGAATTAATCACATTTGTTTATATCACTGATGACGATGGTATTCTTTTAATCATTGATACTGATTTACTTGTATAGTATGCTCAAAATATTTTTATATAAAATAAGCGTAAAGAATCATGTACTTAAAACATCAATTTGCTGAGGTTCTTATAGCAATGAATAATGATACTTCCTTCTCTGAAAGATTTGGTTTGATTCTATGTACGTTATTGTACATATATCTTGTGCATTTTGTTTCTTGTTTGTACTTAAAATATATATATATATATTTATATTTTGATGATATATATATATATATACATATATATATATATATATATATATATATATATATATATATATATATATATATATATATATATATATATATATATATATATATATATATATATATATATATATATATATATATATATATATATATATATATATATATATATATATATATATATATATATATATATATATATATATATATATATATATATATATATATATATATATATATATATATATATATATATATATATATATATATATATATATATATATATATATATATATATATATATATATATATATATATATATATATATATATATATATATATATATATATATATATATATATATATATATATATATATATATATATATATATATATATATATATATATATATATATATATATATATATATATATATATATATATATATATATATATATAATCAAACGAACGATAGTATATTGTAATTGACTTCTTTTTGTACTGTTTGCTTGTTATATGTACATAGTTCGTATATAATTTACCATTACGGATGGATTGATTTACCATTCAATGGGCTTCAACAATTGCCGCAAACAAATATTCGTTCTGAATATATAATCCCATAGTTTACTGGTGATACCAAAACCTGAAGAACAAAGTTTTTATTTATGATTCATCTAGTTTTTAGAAAGCAAGTAAATTTTACCTAGATCATGATGTAAAAAATGATGATAGTTATGATTCCTTTTCATTAAGTACATGTATGTTCCAAATTTCGGCGCGCCATGATGTAGATAATAATGTGTTAAGTCGTAAATCATATAGCCTATGAGACAAATTTTTTTTACATTTGATACATCATTGATATTTATGATAAAATCAATAAATATAAATATTTTAATGCCAATACCTGTCATTGTACCAGAGAGTATAAAATAAATAATCGTTTGCGGAAACACCATATTATAAATCATTAGTAACAGTTTTGCTACCAATAAAGCTGGTAGAATAGGAAATACTAATCTTCTTTTATCAAATGGCGCCTATTGAAAAAAAATAAAATCATTATGTGATTTAATTATTTGATAATGTGATAAAATTATTTTCATATATCGATTCTATCGTCATTTTTTTTTTCATTTTCCTTGTAACCAAATAAATTTAAAGACTGAAAATTACTTTTTACCTTGTGATGAACACCGTGTAGTAAAAAGTGCAAAGTAATAAATAGTTTCGAGTTATCGGGTGGTTTAAAGTGAAAAACTTCACGATGAACTACGTATTCTAACATAGTCCATATGAATATACCGAATATAAACGAAGTTAAAGGTTCAAACACGGTGCTTTCTGAAAATAGACAACAGTTTCAACAAATAGAACAAAATAAATTAATCCTTTCGCATCGGAGGACGAAATATCTCGCCACGTAATTCGTTCATATAAAAATATTCGTTCATATGCATGAAGCTTCGGAAGAGATATTTCGTGTGTCCTGTCGTTGGAAAACATGCGATACGTGTCGTCCAACGACTCGCATAAAAATCAATTCGTAAGACACTGCGTTTGTGAACGTAAAGAGAATTAGGAATGTTAAATGAAGGAAATGTTGTATGAAATAGTTGAAAGCATGGTATTACATGTATGTAATGTTATGTTACACAGACCGATGTGCGACTTTCAGTCGTAAACATTGAAAAACGGGAACGTGAAATATTTCATTCAAAACATCACATGAACAATATTGGAACAACATTACATGGCGAGATATTTTATACATTGATATAAAGGGATTAATAAAGGTACTATAATTCTTAATTAGGTAATGTGTGGAATAGAAATTACTGTGACTGATAGAAAAAAAAACGAATTAAAAATGGTAAAAATACCGGTATTGATGGCAGCGATGCGTGCCAATCCTTTATAAAAGAAGTAAAGAGACATCGGAATCCATACTATCGGTATCAGATACCAAGGAGTAATTGTTAAACTTTCTAAGATGTTTGACTTGAAAAGTTTAATATCCCTATACACTGGTAAATTGACCCATTCCCAATAATGATGACCCAGTGAACCTACTTGTCCAAGTATAGCTTTGTCCCAATCGATCAGATTCTATAAACGTTTAAATGAAAACGTTGTCAGTTCGTAACTCTCGATAAATTGTTCCATTTATATTTGCCGAACGTTATTTTTTAAAGCGTGAAATGCCTAGTACAAAATTCGAAGATAATACATACAAGTACATATTGCAATAAATTTCCCTGTTGTACTTACTTCGTATTTTTGATATTTTTCTTGATTCAACGTGAACTCCTGCAACAGGTGGAATGCCGCTTGCGAGTGGGGAAATTCTTCGAACGCCTTCTCTAAGCTTCGATTTTTAAAGTATCTCAATATCTTCGTTCCACCGGGGTGATACCGAAGAAACTTTTGTATATTGTAAGATTGATTTTGATAGTTAACTAAAAAGTCATTGTTTTGCTTGTTTTCGATTGATTGTAATTCAGATTTGGATTCTGTGGTACGCTTGCGTACATCGCGAATAGAGTCCGTGGTCTTCGCCATTGAACCGATCAAGCTGATTGCTATTCGCAATCACCGGAATATATTATTGGAAAAAAGTTAGAAAAAGTTGTGTATATATATGTATATATGAAACGTTGTAATTCGCCGATAGACCGATGGATGAGTAATGAGCAGAAATCCGCGAAATATCTACTTTTACCTGTCGAATGTTTATCGTAGCACACTTGATATCTGATAGAACTACGTGTATACGGTTATCGTACAAACAGACAAATTACATTATCTTTGATGAGTTTCCTACCTTGATAAGTTTCTATCTATACGATGACGTCACCGTTTGACCTTTTAATGTATTTTTAACTCTTGCTGCTCTTCTCGTCTTTTTTGTAGTAGTATTTGAAATCGTTAGAAATTATCATTTCAATAGGCTAAATCTCTGTCATTTACGGACTTATACAGTACCTATAGCTCGAGAGTTTCCTTCCTTCTGCTGGTGATTATATTTATCACACAGTAATAATAATGAAAATTATTAATAAATTATAAGTAAATTATTAATCCTGAGATGTCTCAGAAATTTGCTTAAGCGGATGACAATGTTGTAGTTGCATTGGACGCGAATTCGCGCGAACTGACGGCCTGATCAGCTCAGTATGCCAAAGCAATCAAATATGTATTGTGGAACGACCAACCACTTTTATCAACTTATGCCCATCTCAACTTGTACACTAAGTCTGTATAAGTCTGCTTTTGTGAGATTTTCCAAATAGAGCACTTTGTGTAAGTCATCAATGGTTCTTGCCTTTTCCTACGGCATATGCATGATATCGACTAAGAATCTGCAGGGCGCATCAGGTTTTGACATTTTCCAGACGACTCTCTGAGTCACGATTTTGATAAGTTAGTGTCTCTCGTACATTGCTGAATTGTATCTTCGAAAGTTTTAGTCTGTGTACAGATAAAGAATAGTTATCGGAAAATAAATATCTGTCTCTCGGCACACGATCGTATGCTTCATTTGTCAAAACGTCAGTTTGCCCAAATTCGCGTCTAACGTAACCACAGGCTAACAAAATTTATAAAATTACTCGATGCTGCATGTGCGGCAATAATTATATTACGTATATCTTATTTCTTACATCTAAAAAATCGTACATTTGCTAAAAATCGGCATTTTCTTGCTCAAATTCCGTTAAAACAGAATCAAAGAGGAACCTGCAGGGAAAAGATCGATAGATACATAGGTATTCATAGACTCGTATACTCGGCAATAAATAAGCTTTTATTTAAACGTTTTGGATATTTGTGTATACAATATACCCTATGTACGATCTATATTTAAATGTCTACGAACGCAGCAACGATCATGCTCCGGTATGTCAAGTGGAAAAAACAGAAGAACTGAAAGAGGAGAGAAAAGGAACGGGGTAATACCCTATCACGAAGTTAATCTGATTGTGAGCACACGCGCTGCCAAAAATATAACATTTCAAGCATCGCGATGACAATGCAACGCGATGAACAGTGTATCTCGATATTCTCTTTTCTGTTAGAATTGCTATTGATGTTTTCGAGCCAGGTACTGACCTTGTCAAACGAGTATATTACATCGCTTGACGGAAAGATATCCGCCCTTGCGTTTGCAAAGTATCTGTTCCTCCGTAATTGGTCATTACTGATCGAACGTAATCGATCCTAGAAATTAGAGGAAACGAGAAAAATCAACGAAGACACGAACCGCGCGTGTACACAGTTTTCTCAATCTCTCATTCACGATTTTCTAAGGAACGATTGCGCGACCGATACCGACCACATTGAGCTCAAATTGAACTTCGACAAAGATTCGAATCATCCCGAAGAGATTTCCGCTTCGTGGTTCTTCTCTTTTCTCCATTTTTCTCTCTCTTGTTAAGTACGATCCTGAAAATTCTTCGACCCGATCTCGACATATCTGCCTCGGAGACATTCAAATTTCACAGTATTTCGCGATCTATCTCTGCTTTAAGTAATCGGGTTTCTAGCAATTCGGAAGTATTACGAAACTCAGTGAAGAGATACCGTCTGTACACTATTTCCTACTCGTACAGTTCTATTTAGGCGAGTAGGTTTATAACTTCTAATTAGGTTTCGATATTTGCAACTTTTCTCTTTTGACCATTTCTTCTCTTCTCACCCCTGAGGTTTGGAAGCAATAGGAACGTAGGCACCGTCTAGAAATCGCTCGAAAATTTCAAGACGAATGATCGATTCTACGTACTATGAATCTCCGTACGTTTTGAAGGTTTCGTTTTTAATTGGACGAGCTTTTGTCAGAATATTTCATTGTTTGATCCGTAACATAAGTAGACGGTACTCTTTCTAAAGATACGAAGGAGGGAGGCTAATATCAACGCGATTCGTTTCTTCGCGGAAGAAGTCTAGACTTAATAATGCTGCCGTAAGGGGTTCGTGCGTAATTCTGCATTTTTTATTTTTTCAACTTGCTGTATAATACCGATCATACGATCAAACGAACGAACTAGATGGACTGGACAAAAACCAATCGCCTGAAGGTATCGATTAGGTTAAGTCAAAGATAATTTAGATCTCAATGAAACCGAGTCAATCGAACAAAGCTAGCAAGGCGCGACGAATCGATTTCGAGTGCGATTAGAATCGGCCTCTCTCTCACTCTTTACCATGCATTCTGTGACGCCGAGTATTTTTTTGAGTTTTCTCCGCTTTTCCGTTTCTTATTTGCTTTGTACACGTTAATACCGTGTCATAAGTTCGACGGAAAGTAAGTATTGCTTTTAAAAAGCACCGATCGTACAATTATTTCATTCCTCGATTCGGATTTGCAATTCGTATCATTTTACGCGTCTCCTAAGAACTGAAATTCCAAAGGGACAAATGTTCGATTACCCTTCTTTCCCTGATTTGTTTGTAAAAAGAAACTGCGCGACGAAAGATCGCGGACCCGACACTTGCTTTTAAAAGTCCATCACTTCCATTTTGAAGGGTTTACCCTGAAGCTTGTTGGGGACGATCTTCGTTATGGGCGGTGCACTGTTGTTGTCATCGTCGCTATTCACATCTTCATCCTCTTCGGGAAAATCTTCGAGACGGTCGTGGTACTCGTCCAACTGAAAATGGAGATTACTACCGTTAATTACAAGTGGCCACGTTCTTCCGTGATCGAATCGTGAACGAACAATCGCAGCTAAGGCTATGCGTGATTTGTTCGAAACGCAGGCCAGCCAGGGCGTGTTCCTTATTAATGAAAGAAAAGTGCGGTGCCAGTGAGATATCAAAGCGAGAAAGCTCTTGTCCGGTGAACTCAAGTACCGGGTTTGTTGGTTTTTCTTTTTCGCAGACAACATGCCGACTTCGCGCGATGTCTAAAATCTGGCGATCGGCAACGTTCTCTAAGTCGTAAGATTTACAAGCCGCAGAAAAAACACCTTGTTCGCGTTTCCTCCGTTTCCCTCTTCGTACTCGAAGATCATCGTTTCAGTAGAAACAACGGTGCAAAGCGCGTAAAATTAAGCTAAGAGCATTCCATAAACGATAGTACGTATACTACGGACTCACGTGTAAAGTAGCTATGGAAGAAGCGATTAATCGACGTTACCGCACACAGAACGGACGCTTTCCTATAACTGCAGGTACGTCCAACGTAAATCTTAATGCTCGTTCAGGCTTAATCGACGCACCTTGAGTATGTAATTCTTCTTTCTGACTCGCACTCGTGACGCTAATAGTGTAAGCATGTCTCTCGGTGCGCCAATTAAGTCACTCTCTATTACGATGACTAAGTCTCTACGTTGTCTAGACAAGCATATGAACGTGCCTCGCGTGTTTTATCCATAGTTAATCAAGACTGGTGATAAAAGACGAATCGCCGAGTCAGTGAAGCGAAATGATATAATTCATATAAGTAGTGAAGGTGGCGCGATTTTCTTGGTTTAAGATAATCGTGTTGCTCGATTTATCGAGCATACTTTTCAAACGCACGAAATAGTCCTTGGTGAACGTTCGAGAAGCTACAGAGTGTAAATAAAAGAAATACACAAATGCAAATGCGTGTGTCGTGATGTATACGATTGAATAGAGAGAATAATGGAGGATGAAAGGAACGTCGGGCGGATGTTGTTGAAACGAGCTCATCGCGGTCAAAGATTTTCTGGATCTACTCACATCAACATCGCCCATCATCTCTTTGGTAGAAACAGTGGTATCTATGCGTCGTATACTGCCTTGATGAATGTCAACGTCCAGCTTGACGCATTGGAACCGTCTCAAAAGAAATACGATCGGTATTGGCGCGATGCCCGCGAAAATGATGACGACCGCTATGGCCAACACCCAACCGGGATACGCGGTGGGTACGGCTATACCCTGAAACGTACAAAATTAGAAAATTAGAAAATTAGAAAGACGTATTAGAAAATTTGACAACGAAAGAAGCGAAAATTCGAAAACTCAAAAAGTTTTTCTCACCCGTGACGCGTCCCATGCAGAATATGTGGGCTTTTTGATGAACATGGATGCTATACTGGAAAGGAGAATGCAGACCATAATTATGGGGGCAAGAAATCGCCAGGTAAATTGCCAATATATCCCCGGTCTGTATCCTGTCATTTCCTCGATATCTTTCGTGAATCTGGAAAAGAATTGTTTCCTGTTAATTAAACGTGAAATGTTCCCTTAAGACAGGAAGGACCATCAAGTATAAAAGTTTTAGCGTACTTTTCGTGACCATAAACGAAAATGACTGAAATCATTTCCATGAGCGCCACCATTACGAGGCCAATGGTACCGGCGAAACTGTCGAACATTTTTAGCCAATATTCCCCAGCACCAGTACAGAATATTAAACCAACGAAGAAGCAGACTGTACAAACCACCCCTAAGAAAAAAAATTATCGTTTATCGCGTTTGTTCTATCGTGAATAGAAGACGACAATGATCTTACCTACCTGTTATGTATTGCTTCTTTATTCTCTTGAACAGATCTATGTCGAAGATGACACATAGCATTCCTTCTAGTATACCGATCTGGGAACCCAGACCGAGTGCTAGAAGCATTAGGAAGAAGATACAAGACCAAAACGGAGCGCCAGGCAGCTCGACTATCGCCTGGGTGAAAACTATGAAAGCCAATCCTGTTCCTTCGGCAGCCTAATAATCGATTAATTTAAAAAAAAATAATTTAAAGACCGTCTTTTTAAAACACAAATATAAGAAATATGTTTGTCAATTACATTATCCAATTGCTCGTTAAGACTACAGGTTTCAAGTGTGAAGTTCATCTCAGATGCGGTTAACGTATTTACAGTTTCCTCGTATTCTTCCATGGTAATGTTCTTGTACATTATATATCCATTTTGAAAAAGTAAGTTTATATTACTGGAACAAAGAAATAGAATTGCCCGATCGTTAATAATCTGGATGATCTTCCTTGTTTCATCCCTAGAAATTATTTCATGGAAATTAAATAAAAATCAGTTTACCTCGCCAAGCACTTATCGACGTTTGTCATTGCCTTAAAGCCTAGAATGGCGAATATCACGACACTCGCGTAAATAGCGGTGAAGGCGTTACAACCGCTAACCAGGAGCACGTCCCGAACGCAGTTGTTGTCCGGAGTGTTGTAAGAACCGAACGCGATCAAGGAACCGAATGCTAGCCCGAAACTGTAAAAAACCTGCGTCGCTGCGTCGAGCCAGACCGTCGGCTCTAACAGTTTCTCGATCTGCAGATGAAAAAGGCAACCGTGAAAATCACGCGAAAAACAATGAAACACGAGAGTCTCATCGAAAAAGTGGAAATTAATTACCTTTGGCGTGTACATGTGGGCTAATCCAGCGCTGGCACCTTTTAACGTTATTCCACGAATAAAAAAGATAGTAAGCACCAAATACGGGAACATGGATGTAAAATATACCACCTTTAAATCAAGCAGAAACATAAGTCGTTGACACAGTATATCTGACTCTCGCATTTACACGGAGGAAAAGGCGGACGGGAAAATGGAACAGGAAGTAATTCGAAGGGAAAGTAAACGACCACCCGCGAGGAAAAGAAAAACCAATTAAAACACTCGACGTTTTCCTACCTTTCCCGATGATTGTATTCCCTTCATCACAATAAAGAAGACGACGATCCAACTCAACAGCAGACAAAGGACGATCCACCATTTGAGACTCTGTCCTTCTTCGATCGACGGTGCCGCGTCCAATGTGGTTCTGTACCAAAAATATGCAGTTTCCGAACTCTTCGCGCATTCTTCGACTGGCTTATTATCAA